CTGCTCCGGGTGTGTGTTCACAGTGTGTGTGTGTTCACTGCTGTGTGTGTGTGCACTTTGGATGCAGAGCACTAATTCCGAGTATGGGTCACCATACTTGGCCACATGTCACTTCACGTCACTTCATTTGAAATAATATGAAGGTGATGTAATAAAATAACTTACATTTTTTGTTGAACTATTCTTTTAATACTTCTGAGGGTTTACAGTCAATGTGGCAGATGAAAAAAAGAATGACAATGTGTGAACTGCATTACCCAGCATCCTCTGGAAGTAAAAGATCATATCTTGCAGCCTGTTTCTGAGCGTGTTCAGACATGGCCTCAGAGGATATCATGGCTTCTTTCAGCCTTCGACGGGCTCCTGCAGGCTGACACATAAAAGCAGAGTGAAATCATTTGAAAACATGAAAAGCAGTCCTTGTTCTGATTCAGATTATGTTATTTGGGTGAATCTCACAAAATCTGCTAAAATTGTATGGGTCACCATACTTGGCCACATGTCACTTCACTTGAAATAATATGAAGGTAATGTAATAAAATAATTTACATTTTTTGTTTAACTATTCTTTTAATACTTCTGAGGGTTTACAGTCAATGTGGCAGATGAAAAAAATAATGACAATGTGTGAACTGCATTACCCAGCATCCTCTGGAAGTAAAAGATCATATCTTGCAGCCTGTTTCTGAGCGTGTTCAGACATGGCCTCAGAGGATATCATGGCTTCTTTCAGCCTTCGACGGGCTCCTGCAGGCTGACACATAAAAGCAGAGTGAAATCATTTGAAAACATGAAAAGCAGTCCTTGTTCTGATTCAGATTATGTTATTTGGGTGAATCTCACAAAATCTGCTAAAATTGTGTCCAGGTCAGGTTTTACCCCCACGATATTTCACAAGGAAAAAAAAATGTGTTCACATTTTTATAATGTACTTGTGTGCTCACATCTAAGATGCAAGCAGTGGCATTAGTGGGTTTGAAGTTTGGTGTATGAAAAAAATTAAGTGACCAAACAAACTGAAGACTAGAAAGGTTGATATATAATGCCATTTCCATATATGTAGCAGACTTTAGCTGTCTAACCACAAAAAGACACACTTAGTACATACACTATGTATCTTCCAGACTAGACTGTGAATTTTGTTCAGAACTGTAGCATAAAATTACTGTAAATTGGTTGTTAAAGGGATAGTTCACCCAAAAAGGAAAATTCTGTCATTAATTACTTGTCGTTCATGTCGTTCCAAACCTGTACCGTTCATCTTCGGAACACAAATTAAGATATTTTTGATTAAATCTGAGAGCTTTCTGACCCTCCCATAGACAGCAAGGATACTAAAATGATCAAAGCTCAGAAACGTAGCAAGGACATCGGTAAAATAATCCATGTGACATCAGGGGTTCAACCGTAATATTACGAAGCTACAAGAAGGAAAAATTTAAATCGCATCATATGACCCCTTTAAATGTCATTATTTTGCCATCCAAATATGATACATTTCATGTTTAAAGCAGTGGTCCCTCCATGTGGATAATATGTAATCAAGTTAGCCCTTTATATTGATTTTTTTCTTCTTCAGCTAAGCAGAATAATACATTTCTATTCTGCTGAGAGCTACAGGTATGGCGTATTTTTGTAGTCCAAAACCCAGAAACAAGCATTTTAGTTCCATCTTCCTGAAGTCTATGGGTTTTTTTAATGGGTTTTTGATTAAATGCCTAAAATACAAAATATGTAATATGAACTAACCTATTATTTGGAACTATTTTTAAGTGTTTAATGTTATATTTTTTGAGAAACTGGTGCTTTATCTACAACTTTATTATTAAAGCTCTGTAAGTCTAGGATAAAATAATTATGTTGCACAACATTAGTGTTTTTGAAATGTTTAGCTTTAATGCATATTTCTATTCCAGTCACTTAACATTTTAAAGGGATAGTTCACCCAAAAATGAAAATTACCACCAGATTTACTCCAAGCTATTCAAGGTGTATATGACTTTCTTCTTTCAGACGAATACAATCGGAGTTATATAAAAAAAATGTCCTGGCTTTTTCCGAGCTTTATAATGCCAGTGAATGGGTGATATTCAATCCACTTGAACGCTACTCTCTTGTGAACGCGCGTACAACAGTTAGCGGAAGCTAGAGATTATAGTTCATAAAGTTTTAAATATGGATATTTTGCTTACGAAGGCGCATCGATTTGTTTCAGGAGGCCTTTATTAACCCCCCGGAGCAGTGTGGAGCACTTTTTTATGATAGACGGACAGAGTTTATTGGACTTCTATTGGACTGTTGAATATCACCCATTCACTTTTAATGTAACTCCAATTGTATTAATTTGAAAGAAGAAAGTCATATACACCTAGGATGGCTTAAGGTGGGGGGTGGGATCATTGGGGTAATTTTCATTTTTGGGTAAACTATCCCTTTAAGCAAAATATAGTATCATATAATATAATGTAATATATACATAAATGGTTTAATAATGTAGCTGAAAGAGGTGGGTGTCGACAATTGAACAAATTCAGTGATAAAAAATGTTAACCAAAGATGACAATTGACATCTGTAAAATACAATTCATTAAATGTCTGATATTTTATAGCCTAATTAATATGATATAACAGAACCCCTTTTTCTCCAATAGATTCCACAATACAATACGAAATTACAATACGAAAAATAAAATTACAATATGAGACATGAGTTCACAGTTCATCACTATGATTTCTTGTCAGATATTGTTTCTTAACTTTAATTAAAATACGAGACATGAGTTCACTGTTCATCACTATGATGATTTCTTTTTTTCAGCATTGAAAAAAAAAAGCACTTCAGCTGAACTTGTTGACTGTCATGTAGGGCTGCACCATTAATCGAATGCGATTGTCATACGCAAAGCCGGTTCTGTAAACAGTAGTAAATCTCCAGCACGTGCTTTCAGATGGAGCAGCATTTACTACACAGAGCCGTAGTTTATGTAATGACAGCTGTTTGTGTAGCTTCTCAGTGAACTAATGCTACTACATCTGAAAGCTCGTGAAAATACCACATTTAATAACATGTTTTTACTCCAAACTCACTTCATAACGTCAATCGAGTGTTTGAAATAAATCCTTCTGTGAGATGATGTGCTTCTTACACAGAAGTTAAATATCGCATGCGATTAATCGTGCAGCCCTAATAAAATATTTAATATTTCTCATTCTTTGGCAGTTACACCATTTGATATTTTCAATATATTTCAATATATTGATATTTTTTGATATTTTGGTACATTCATTCTTAACTTTTGCAAAAAAAAAAAAAGTGCATATGTCATTTTACTTTTGATTTCATATGTTATCCTTTCCATAGAAAATAAATCTAACCAATCACTTATAGCTGGGGATTCTTGCCTTCTCCAAAATTTTGTTATTAATTTAAAAGCTGTAATTCGCAATATTCTAACTAAGTATAACTCATCTTTACTATAGCATAGGTCCTATACCCAAAACTATATTTTGCATCTTTATTATATTTTATTACATGAATTACTTCTGTCCAGAATTTTTTTATTATCATTTTACACGTATAAAATATATGAGTGTAATGAGCTTTAAGTTCACCACAACTTCTCAAACATCCTGAAAATAAATAATTATATTTGGAAAATACTTCTGGTGTTATAAAATATCGCATACTAATTTCATATTCTTGCCAATATGAAGATTGCGTAGTCCTTAGATTTTCTTTTAAACTTTGTTTCCAATCTCCTTCTGTTATTTTATTGTCTAATTCAATTTCCCATTTTGTCTTAATATCAGTTAATATTATATAAACCCTCATTCTTAATTTCTTTGAATATATTATTTATTCGTCCTATCAAGTTATCTAGTCGATTAATTTTACTAACTTTAATCATAAAACGCAACAGAGGGTGAATATCATCAAAAGTTTTTATTTTAATCTCATCCTTTAGATAACTTCTTATTTGAAGATATTTGAAATATAATTTCCCAGACAATACATATTTTTTTCTCTATGTTCTCAAATGTCTCCATCTCATTGTCTCCGTAAATTTGATAAAATATTTTAAGTCCTTTGCTAGCCCAAACCTTAAATACATCATCAAAAGTATTTGATTTAAAATCTGGATCTCTTGCTATTTCTCTTAAACAAACCATCTCGTGATCACTAATATTCATTACTTTGCAAATTCTTCTCCAACATTTAAAAGTTTAACCTATACAATAATAACTAGTATTCACCCTTTTCTTTCTTCCACAAAATATTAATGTACTAATTGCCTCAAGCGACCCAATTTCCATATATTACCATTTTGATCTGTTATCCACTTGCATCCAGCTCAAGACTGGCTTAATCTGGGCTGCGTAATAATAATGCTCCAAATTTGGCAATGATAAACCCCCCTTCTTTACTATTTTGTAAAACCTTCAGTTTCTTTGCAAATTCTCCAACATGAATTGCATCGAATGACCCAGTTTCCATACTTTTCCACTTTGATATATTATCCGTTTGCATCCAGCTCCAAATCGGCTTAATCTGGGCTGCATAATAGTAATACTTCAAATTTGGCAATGATAAATCCCCTGTTTCTTTACTGTTTTGTAAAACTTTAAGTTTTATTCTTGCTTTCCCCTTATCTCAAATAAATCTTCTAAAAATACTATGCCACTTTTGAAATGACTAAGATGTATATAAACAGGGAGATTTTGAACTCATTTTAATAGTAGTCTACATATTTTTTCAGTCAAAGATAATGATAATATTTTCCACCTTTTAAAATAGTTTCTTATCGTAGTTTCTTAAGTATCATAGTTACACTTGTATAGATTTTCAACCTTGTTTGGAATTTTCACTCCCAAATACCTTATCTCTGTTTGGTTCCATTTAAGATCATATTTCTCTTTAAAACCTTCTTGTAGTTTACCCCAATTTCCATAGCTTCTGTCTTATTAAGGTTTAATTTATATCCTATGTAGGGTAACAGAGCGAATCAGACAATTTAAGATTCGATCAGATTGGTGTTACAACAACCCAAACAGCCAAATTCCACAAAGAGGCCCAGGATAACAAGACAACGTCATAAATCTGTCCACAAATACCCTGGCACCATGAGTCTGAAGTGAGCCTAACGAACTAGCACCTTCGAACAGCTTTCAACATTAAACAAAAGAACACGTATGGCCAGAGACGGGACATGATAAAGACTGGAGATGTAACGATGAACCGCGAGCTGGTTGAAAATCGATTCAAATATGTGACGATTCAAATCGGTTGAGATATGGAAAGCCGTTTTAACATTTAATCTATAAGCCGTACTAGTATCTATTTTCATGATACTAGTATCTTTTTAATTAAGTACTAGTACTTATTCATTAGGCACTAGTGCTTATTCTTTAGCTACTAGTGCTTATTCTTTAGGTACTAGTGTTTATTCTTTAGGTACTATTGTCTTTTGTAAAGTTACTAGTACTTATTCATTAGATACTAGTTCTTATTTATTAGTTACTAGTACTTATTCCAATAGTGACTAGTATTTAATTAATTACATTAATTAATACACTTCTTGTTAAGAAAAAAATAGAACTAGTAATTATTTTTTAGTTACTAGTAACTTTTTAGACCAGAGATATCCGGAACTTAATAGATACTAGTACTTTTTAAATTTGCATTTCTGCCCAGTATGGTAATCGTAATGAGCCAGCAACATAGGAGAGAGATTAGACAGGAAACGAAAACAAGGAGACGAATGT